TTGGCCACGGCAATGGAAGTAACACAAGTAGTACAAGGAGCAAGTCCAAAAGTATCTTCAGACGTACCGTTCGTGATTGTAACATGAGTAATTGTCGTAGTAGTAGTAGTAGTAGCAGCAGTAGCACCAGAAGTAGAAGTAGTAGAAGTAGTACGAGTAGTGGAAGTCGTAGTAGTAGTAGTAGTAGTAGTAGTAGTAGTAGTAGTAGTAGTAGTAGTAGTAGTAGTAGTAGTAGTAGTAGTAGTAGTAGTAGTAGTAGTAGTAGTAGTAGTAGTAGTAGTAGTAGTAGTAGTAGTAGTAGTAGTAGTAGTAGTAGTACGAGTACGAGTACGAGTACGAGTAAGTAGTAGTAGTAGTAGTAGTAGTAGTAGTAGTAGTAGTAGTAGTAGTAGTAGTAGTAGTAGTGTAGTAGTCGTAGTAGTCGTAGTAGTCGTAGTAGTCGTAGTTCGTAGTCGTCGTCGTCGTCGTCGTCGTAGTAGTAGTAGTAGTAGTAGTAGTAGTAGTAGTAGTCGTAGTAGTAGTAGTAGTAGTAGTAGTAGTAGTAGTAGTAGTAGTAGTAGTAGTAGTAGTAGTAGTAGTAGTAGTAGTAGTAGTAGTAGTAGTAGTAGTAGTAGTAGTAGTAGTAGTAGTAGTAGTAGTAGTAGTAGTAGTAGTAGTAGTAGTAGTAGTAAGTAGTAGCAGTAGCAGTATCAGTAGCGGTAGTAGCAGTAGTCATAGTAGTAGCAGCAGCAGCAATAGTAGTAGTAGTAGTAGTAGTAGTAGTAGTAGTAGTAGTAGTAGTAGATGTTTCTGTAACAGTAGTATGTGTAGTGATAGTAGTAGGAACCATGATCGTGTTAGTAATTGTAATAGTAGTAGTAGTAGTAGTAGTAGTAGTAGTAATAGTAGTAGTAGTAGGGATAGTCGCAGTAGTACTAGTAGTAGTAGTAGTAGTAGTAGTAGTAGTAGTAGTAGTAGTAGTAGTAGTAGTAGTAGTAGTAGTAGTAGTAGTAGTAGTAGTAGTAGTAGTAGTAGTAGTAGTAGTAGTAGTAGTAGTAGTAGTAGTAGTAGTAGTAGTAGTAGTAGTAGTAGTAGCAGTAGCAGTAGCAGTAGCAGTAGCAGTAGCAGTAGCAGTAGCAGTAGTAGTAGTAGTAGTAGTAGTAGTCGTAGTCGTAGTAGTAGTAGTTGTTGTTGTACTCGTAGTATTAGTAGTAATAATAGTAAGAAGAAGGTGGTAGTCGTAGCAGGTTTGATAATCGCTAGGTCACGCGTTCCCTGATTATCGCCTGGTCACGCGCTAGGGATGGGACTGCTGGCGCCCCTCTAGGCCTGCTCTTCGAGTTCCTTCTGAGAGAAGGGAAGTTTCGGTCGTCACCTGGTCTCGCGGGAAAGCCTTCAGGTTTACTTGCGTAGAGCTTACGGGGTCCCGGTGAAATCCACATGGTGCCCCATGGAAGCCCGGTGAACCTCGTTCGAAGCAAAATGGATATCACATGATGCCAGTGTGCAGTGGAATTATGATGCGATGGTTTCGCCACCAGGGATTGCACGCCGAAGGCTGCATTCTCATGCTCTGCGCGCAGCTCCGGAGACTCTACGTCGAAGGGCGCGGCGACGCCGTTTGGCCGCATCACAAGGACGAGCGCCCGTAGCAAATTCGAACAAGACTGAACGCGCGATCACATTCACGCGCAGGACCTGGAATAGACATGCGGGGCTTCCCGGTAGCGCAATAAATATTGAATGTGGCTACCAATTAAAACACACATAGGCATCAATAGGAATCAGTAGGAATCAATCAGAATCAGGAGGAACCAAAGTGATAGGAATTCATCAGCAATAGATAGGAATCCGTAGGATCTACTGGGAACCCATGAAAAGAATGAAATTCAATCTAGACCAGTCGGAAGCAACGAAACCCAGCCGAAACTAGTTGGAACGAATGGGAATCGTTAGTATCAATAAGAACCAGTAGGGATAATCCGTAGCCATTTTGGCTCAAGATTCGGACTCGAGGTCAGACACTTGTTTCTTCCATAGTCTGCACGACGATGATTCGCGTGGGATGTTTGGTGACCTGTGCCGCTGTGGCGAGCGGGCTCCATACCAACACGGGCGCCCTGACCCAGCTCCGGGGTTCCAACCATTCGGTCCTCATCTTGGGATGCTCTGTAGATAGGCTGCCCGTGGAGAGCTTCTGCGGCAAGGTCGACAATTTTTTTCGGTGGGGTGCTACGACGAGAAGCGCCATCTCAACATAGGCTTCGTCTTCCACCCTGGGGTGGGCATCAACGGTGATCTGCAGCCGTCATTTTACAACCGCACCCGGTGGGGCTCTCATATAGGGCAGCCTATATCCGACGTCAAGGTCCTGCACAAGTGGTCCTCGACCATGGTGGGAGAGCTGTTCCCCGACATGGTCGTGGTGGACAGCTCCCTGTGGGACCTGGCGACCTGGGCCTCGTGGGGCATGAGAAACGTGACGTACAACCGGCTGCGCCAGTGGGGCATGCGTGATCTGAAGAATGAATTGGCTCGCGTGTCCGAGGCGTACAACAAGAGCCGCATCGTCTTCAGGACTGCGCCCGCAGTGTAGAACCCAAAGTGGGTTGTGAGTGACACAGGGTACGAATACAAGGATGTGTCGGTATTCTCGAATCATGGAATCCGCAAGATGCAGAGGGAGTTGAGGAAACACATCAAGGACGGCAAGCTATACGGCAAGTACGAGGTGATTGACTACAGCCAGATCATGGACGATCTTATCCAGGAGCGCGGGGCCGACGATCCGTCCCTGTGGTTGAAGGATGGGTACCATCCCAGTGCGGAGCCCTCCCGACGCAACCTCAACGAGGTCTTCCGCCTCATGGGCCTGGCGACGGTGGAGAAGATGGCAGAGGTGGACCGCAGCCAGCGGCGGTGGGCGGCGGCCGCTGGCGATCGGGACGAGGCGGGCGATCTGCCGTGAGCGCTGCGGCGATTTGCTCGCCAGTCCCATTGCCCGAATTGTGGAGATGGGCTCGATGCTTCTCAGTTCACCGAAAAAAAAGAAAAAGAAAACAAAACGTAGGGATAAGTCGGAATCATTGGGAATCAAAGAAAGCAATCATCATCAACATAAAGCACATGGAATCAGTAGGAACCAATAGGGATCAAATAAACCAATCGGAATCAACAGGAATCATTTGGAATTGGGCCAACGAGAACCAACGGAGACCAATCGGAACCATCCAGAAGCAGTAGGAACCAATGGGAAACATTGCGGTCCAATGGGGATCAATACGGACCGTTGGGAATCATTGGGGATCGGTCGACAAGAATAGAGGGAACCATTACTCATCAACAGAGACCAATAGGAATCAGTAGGAATGATTAGGGACAATGTAGACTCTGTGGGGAGCAGTAAGAAGCCACAGGAAGCAATCGGAAACATGTGGCCTCAGTAGAATCAATAGGAACCAATGAAAATCATCCACAACGAATCGGGATCAAGTGGGATCTATTGATGTATATATATATACATAGTAGGAAGTCATAATAATCCGCCGGGTTCATTCGGAAACAGTAGGATTTACCGGGACCACCAGGGACCATTCGGAATCATTGGAACCAGGATGAATCAATAGGAAACAATGGGAGTCCCCAGGGACTAGTAATAATCATTGAGAAGCAATAGGAATCAATCGGATGCACTTGGAACCCATAGGAGTCCACAAACATCATTTATAATCAATCGGATTCAATGGGAACGCGTTGGAATCAGCCGGAATCATTGGAAATATAGAAGTTAGAGTTCATCCGGATCGATTGGAATCATTAGGAACCTATCGGCAACACGAGTAATCAATACGAACCAACAGGAAGCAACAGGAAACAATACTAACCACGAGTAAACAAGAATAAGAAATAGAAATTTATAAAATAACCCAGAGGAGCCAGTCAGCAACATTCCCCGCATAATTATCATGTTTCGTATGAGTATTACTATTCGTGTTCTTTTAGCGCCAAGTTGATCCCGAATCCGAGCCCGAACCCTTGCCCTTACCCGCGTGCACTGTACCGCGTGATCAGATGACGGTCAACCCGTGTAGTAATTGTGGTAGTAGTAGCCGTGGTAGTTGGAATAGTTCGCATAAAAGGACCATGAGGAGGGAAAGTGCATGAGGGGGGCACAAACGGAGGATGATGACCAGGAGGAGGATCAGGAGGAGGAGGAGGTGCTGAAGTCCAGAAAGGAGGGGGGAGACGTCTACCAGACCAGTCCGAGCGGCACCCGTCGCATGGGCTTCCCAGGCAGGTTGCCACGACAAAATTCCGCACCAGCAGCGCTTGCACATAGAGCGCTTTAGCCCCTTGGAGCCGCGCCCGCTGCGGCGTAGAGAAAAAGTGGAAGCGGCCCCAGACCAACGCAGACAGTTCCTCGCACCGCGCTTCGCCGATGGCCGCCGCCATTCCCGCAAGATCATGCTGGGCGGACGCCGGCGGAAAAACGCCCCAACGTTGCTCGAAGTCGGCAGGCAACGCTCCCGCTTGGAGGCGGTCCTCCAGCGCACGGGCCAGGGCGGCGACGCTCTCGAGCCCGCCCTCCGCCCGCGGCCCCCTGCGGGCACCGACCGCCGTCCAGCTTGGCGCGGACGCGCGGGCCTCGCGTGCGGGCGGGCCGCCAACCACGCGGCCCCGTGCTCCCCGGAGCCCGCCCGGCACGGATCTTCGGCGCACGGGCAGAGCCAGCTGCGTTTCCAAGCCCGCCCTCCGCAAGCGGCGCCTTCCCCGCCCCCCTGTTGGAAGCGTCCGCAGCCGAGCGCGGCCCCCCGCCTTTGCAGGCAGCGACCTCCGCCCAGTGCGGCACGGACGCATGGGCCTCGCACGCAAAAGATGACGATGGAGGAGGAAATTTCGGGGTCGGGAGCTCCGAAATTCAATGCGTGGAAAGGATCTGGGCATCGGGGGCTTGGATCCCCCGAGCGCTGCCTGGGGAAAGCTTCCCAGTCGAAGGGAGGGGTGATGCTTTTGCGCCCGAGGCCCTGACAGACCCGTCCTTGCTGGACAAGCCGCACCGGCAGACATGCATCGCGTCGACGTCGGTGGAGTGGCTCGAGTGGAACATTAATGACCTCAACGAGCTGATGCAAGAAGTGCATTCCATCCAGGCGCGGCAGAGCATGCGTGTGGGAGGCTGGGCATGAGTCAACGAAGGGCGTGCAGGTGAATGCCGTGTGCGGCGGTGTAGGCGCAGTTGGAGGGAGCTCGTGCGGGATATGACTCCCGTGCAGATCCATCTCGCGCAGTACCTGTTTCCCCGGAAAGGGCGTGGGCCCAGGGTTCTCTCTTAGGATGGAAAACCTGTCCACCTGGTGCCAAGTTCGAGGAGGGTCGGCGGAATTGTTCGCGATAGATAACGAGATAGGCCAATTGTGCGTGTGTGTTCCCAACCATCGTGTGGTGTTGGGTCTTCGTTTTGAAGAGACAGCGCCCCGCGTTCTCCCTCTTCCCGTTGCCCCTCCTCGCATCGCCCACCATAATCCGCATCATCATCATCATCATCATCATCATCATCATCATCATCATCATCATCATCATCATCATCAACAACATAAACATCAACATCCACATCAACATCAGCATCAGCATCAGCATCATCATCACCAACATCAGCATCATCATCATCATCACCATCACCATCAGCATCATCATCATAGTCATCAGCATCAGCATCAGCATCATCACCATCATCAGCAGCAGCAGCATCATCATCATAATCATCGTCATCATCATCATCAGCTTCATCATCATCATCATCATCATCATCATCATCATCATCATCATCATCATCATCGTCATCGTCATCGTCATCGTCATCATCGTCATTGACGTCGTCGTCATCATCATCAGCATCATCATCAGCAGCATCATCATCAGCAGCTGCAGCAGCGTTTTCATCATCAGCAGCAGCATCATCATTATAATCGGTGGCGCACCCCTCATTACGTCTTGTGGCCCCACAGGGAGCTCCACCGAAGGCTCCAGTGGCACAGTTCGCATGTACTCGTCACCCCCGCTCCGGCACACCCCTCACACGCTTCGTGGCCCCACAGGAAGCTTAATCAATGGCGCCAGCGGCGCAGTTCACATGCGGGCGTCACGCCCGGTCCGGCACACCTATCACACGTTTCGTGGCCCGATGGGGAGTTTCATCTAAGGCACTTGTGGCGCAGTTCGCATGTGGGCGCCACGCCCGTTTCGGCATACCCTCCACACGGCTCGTGGCACTTAGGAAATTCCATCGAGTGTTTTCGTGGCGCAGTTCGCATGTGGGCGTCGCGCCCGTTTCGGCACACCCCTCACACGCTTCGTGGCCCCACAGGAAGCTCCACCGAGTGCCTCGATGCCGCAGTTCGCATGTGGGCGCCACGTCCGTTTCGGCACACCTCTCACAAGTTTCCTGGCCCCGTAGTGCGCTCCACCTAAGGTCTCCGTGGCGCAGTTCGCATGTGGGCGTCACGTCCGTTTCGGCACACCTCTCGCACGTTCCGTGGCTACATCAGGAGCTCCACCGAGTGACTCCGTGGCGCAGTTCGCATGCGGGCGTCGTTCTTGTTTCGGCAAGCCCCTCACAACTTTCGCAGCCCCACAGTGAGCTCCACCGAGTGCCACTGTGGCGCAGTTTGCATGTGTGCGTCACGTCCGTTTCGGCACACCTCACACGTTTCGTAGCCCCATAATTAGCGAGTTCCACCCAAGGTACCCGTGGCGGAGTTCGCATGTGGGCGCCGCGTTCGTTTCGGCACACTCCTCACCTTTCGTAGCCCCATAGTGAGTTCCACCGAGTGCCCCTGTGGCGCAGTTTGCATGTGGGCGTCACGCCCGTTTCGGCACACCCCTCACACGTTTCGTAACCCCATAGTGAGTTCCACCCAAGGTACCCGTGGCGCAGTTCGCATGTGGGCGTCACGCCCGTTTCGGCACACTCCTCACACGTTCCGTGGCCCCACAGTGGGCTCCACCGAGTGCCAGTGTGGCGCAATTTCCATGCGGTCCCACACCAATGTCGGCACACTCATCACACGCTTCGTAGCCCCATAGGGAACTCCACTGACAGCGATGGCCACGAAGCGATACCCACAACTGCATGTGGTTGGGTCCTTCGCCAGCAGAAGCGTTCTGGCGCGTCGCGCGTGCCCGCTCGAGGAAAGTACGCTCCCCATTTCGGATCCTGGATTAACAACGGGGCCTTCAGGCCCCCGTTTTTTCTTTGCCAAAAAATGCAAAGCGTTTTGCGTAGATTCTTCTGTAACTGTGAAAGGTTTGGGGGACGGTCAAATTTGGAGAAAATGCGCAAACGCTGACTGTTTGCGTGCCTGCTTGAGGATGGCGCGTCCTGCGCGAAGAACGTTTGAGGAGGTATCGAGTGAAACGCTTGTTTTGCAAAACGTGAAGGGTTCCAGCGCCCAAGGATGCCCAGGTACAAGGTAAAGTCAGCATGTTCTTGTGTTAAGAATGTATCGAGCGAAACGCTTGTTTTGCAGAATGTGTTGAGGACATCTCGAGCGAAACGCTTGTTTTGTCCTCCAGATTGTTCCTCCCCTGGGCGACAGAATTCAGAGGATGTCTCAGGCGAAATGCTTGTTTTCACGTGCCTGGGTCGCCCAGGGCTGTATATAATATGGCCGTTGATGGAACCACGTGTTGTCATGTGTCCAGGCCACCCATGGGGAGATTCTAACATGGTGGTCCCGAACTGGAACCACGTGTTTTTACATGTCCAGGCCACCCACGGGCGGGTATCTCACATGGTGGCCCCAAGCTGGAACCACGTGTTTTCAAGACCACATGTCGCAGGTCGGGGGGTGAGATCGCAGTAACGGAGAGCCCCCCACCGGGATATCGATAAATATATATATATATATATATATATATATATAAATGTTTCGTGTTCGTGTAGCGCATGCGGACGAGGCGAAGCTACGTGGGCGCGCGAGAGGAATGACCCCGCCATCGCTAGGGCGATTCGGATGCAGTGGACCGCGGGCGCGCGGTGGCCCGGGGTGTCCCGCCACAGTGTCTTGTGGTGTCCCGTTGGTGTCCCGTCGGTGTTCCGTCGGCAGTGGGCGGGCGGTGGCCAACGGTGTCTTGCCATGGTGCCGATATTGAAGGCAATAGTGACATCGATACTGAGATCGCTAGAACAGGATGGACAGTGAGATCAAAAGTGAGATCGACAGCGGTGTTGATTGTGACATTGGTTGTGAGATAGACAGCGGGGACGATAGTGACATTACATCGCAGCGTAACGTCGTCATCACGCGTCGTCGCTAACTCGAGGGCGCGTCACCAGCATTGTCATCAGCAAAACCATCGCACTTGTCAGCAGTTGGTGCTTCCCCCCCCCCACCCCCCAACCTCCTTATCACCCGAAGGGTGGTCGTATAGGTTAGATTTTCGCCCCTGGGTGGCCTGGACACGTGAAACACACACACACACACACACACACACACACACACACACACACACACACACACACACACACACACACACACGGGTCCCTAACGCCCCAGAGCGGGACAAGCTTTTTTTTTTTTTCCCGAGCGTCCCACCCTCCACGGGGGGAAGTGGCTGTCGAACCCCGTCCGGAGAAAACAGTCGTCGGGAAACAGAGGACCGGCCACCTCTGCCGACGTCGCCATCCCGCCGATCACCCCTCGGCGAGCGCGGGCGCGCAGCAGGCAATGGAGGGCGAGCTGCAAGCGCCGAGCGTGTGGCACTAAAAAGGCAGGTGAAACAGGGAGGGAGGAGGCCAAGGGGGGGAGAGGAGGAGGAGCCGGGGGAGGAGGAGGAAGGCCCGCTCACGGCCCCCAAGGCAGCCGGCGCGGCTGGGAGCGCCCCCGCGCCCAGCCACCAGCATGCTGCACGGCGTCGCCCTGCTTGACGTCACAGCGCTGGTCCGTGCCAGAATGCTCGCCATCCCACTCGGACAGATGGTACTCGCAGGTCCCGGCGCTGGCGATGCTGCTGGCACAAGCGCTGGCTCCCATGCATAGCCACCTACTCCGTCCCGTGCAGGAGGCTATCGGCCATCGGCTCAAAGAGTCCCGGGCCCACCAGGTCGCAGTCGGGAACATGCAGCATCTGCCACTCGCTCCGCAATTGGCGGCATGGTCCGCTCGCACGTTCAGGGACGAGATGGCGTCGATGCTGGCGTCGGTGCTGGCGTCGGTGCTGACGCCGGCGCTGGCGAAGGCGCCAGTGTTCCTGCTGGCGTCGGTGCTGCCGTGGTGCTCGTGTAGGCGCTGGCAATGATGCCGGCGTCGGCGCCGGCGGTTGGCCTGGCGTTGGTGCTGACGGCTTTGCTGGGTGGCGCAGGCGCTGGCGCGGGTGCTGGCACCAGCGTTGCCGTCGGTGCTGATGGAGGCGCTGGCGCTGGTGCCAGCGGAAAACTGGCGTGGGTGCTGACTGCTTCGGAACTGGCGCCGGCGCTGGTGTAGGTGCTGGCGTTGGTGCCGGTGTAGGCGCAGGCGGTGATGCCGGCGTCGAAGCTGGCGTCGGCGCCAGCGTAGTAGGCGCCGGCGATTGTGCTTGCGTCGGTATGCTGGCTCCCATGCATAGCCACCTAATCCGTCCCGTGCAGGAGGCTATCGGCCATCGGCTCAAAGAGTCTCGGGCCCACCAGGTCGCAGTCGGGAACATGCAGCATCTGCCACTCGCTCCGCAATTGGCGGCATGGTCCGCTCGCACTGTCAGGAACGAGATGGCGTCGATGCTGGCGTCGGTGCTGGCGTCGGTGCTGACGTCAGCGCTGGCGAAGGCGCCAGTGTACCTGCTGGCGTCGGTGCTGCCGTGGTGCTCGTGTAGGCGCTGGAAATGGTGCCGGCGTCGGCGCCGGCGGTTGGCCTGGCGTCGGTGCTGACGGCTTTGCTGGGTGGCGCAGGCGCTGGCGCGGGTGCTGGCACCAGCGTTGCCGTCGGTGCCGATGCAGGCGCTGGCGCTGGTGCCAGCGTAAGGCTGGCGTGGGTGCTGACTGCTTCGGAACTGGCTCCGGCGCTGGTGTAGGTGCTGGCGTTGGTGCCGGTGTAGGCGCAGGCGGTGATGCCGGCGTCGAAGCTGGCGTCGGCGCCGGCGTAGTAGGCGCCGGCGATTGTGCTTGCGTCGGTGC